TATATATTTTTAATTAACTACGTTCTTTTTCATAAAACTTGAATATGAAATTTATTTTAATTTAATTTTACTCGAATCAACTACTTGTTAGTATAATGATAGTTATTGAAACCCATTTGGATTACTGGTGCATATCATAACTGTTTTTTATTTATATTTTTGTTGCAAAAATTAAAAATATCTTTACTTCACCCGCAATTAATTAACTGGCTTAAGGAAAGGGTAAAGCAAGCAATTGACAATAGACCCGTTTCTACTGGGAAATGTGGGGAAGTTAAGTTTATGAAGGTGATGAGGATCTTAGTTGATATGCGAGATGCACATTGGGAATTGCAAAATAAGATCCCTTCCATGTGAGAAATTTTTATTTTCAAATAATCCTTTGCTCCAACTTGATATACACATTAACTGAAAAACAGGATTAAGCCCTTGGGTCCTGGGCCACGTGGCTCTTTTCCATGTGCTATAAATGACTTCACTTCCAATTGTTCTATCCATTGCCCTTTATTTTGGGGAGTCATTTAGAGATCCTATGCCACAGACTTTAAGTGCATTTCAAGTTCAAGAAAAGCCACATACAGTCTTTGTTCACATCCCTTCCTGCCTTTTTGTCTATTATATTGTCACACACTAGTAAAAGAATTTAGACCTAATTAATAATGTTGATTGTGGAATTATAGGTACCTTTGTTTTGTTGTTGGTGTCTGACTAGCTACACTTTAGTTGAGTTTTGTAACACAAGTTCAATATGGAAGATATTACTATTCTATTAGCTAGAGGGAAGAAGGGCATTAGCAACTACAAAGGTGCCAACTTGAGAGAAGAGATATAAGCTAATTTTAGTAAGCTGAGGAAGTATTGGATAATGAACATAAAAGATATAATCTGCCTTAATTATTGAATAATCATGATTTTATTTTTGAAAAGATATTTCAATGAGATAAGAAAGAAAGAATGATGTTTATAAATTATATTTTGACCTTGACTTTCAAGAGATGTAAAACTACAACATACTAAAACATTTGCAAATGTTTATTGTTAAATAACATATTTAAAAAAATTTAAATCAAGTGAATTTTAATATATATACATAATTATAAATGTAATATCACATAATTTAACAATTGAATTTGTTAAATTTGCATTCTTCAAAAAGTTATAATTAAAAGTATAATTTCACTAACTTCCATACTTGATATCAACCGATTCTAACTATATATAATTTTTTCTCATTTTTATTTTATCATTAAATCATTATTTTCTATATCTTCCTTGACAAAGACAAAGTGAGTAATTGAGAAAATAATAAATAAATAAAATCTTCTACCGAAATGTAAGAAAAAGAACAAGTAGGGAAGGAACATTACAAAAGGGTGGCAGCTGAGTTTGAATTTACCTAATAGAATGCCACAATCACAATCCCAATGCCTGTACTGTTTAATTAACATGTTGGTACAGTTGTCTGAGACAAGCTCAAACATGATATATGATAATAAATAAAGCTACCACAATTGGGTGCCATTTGTCACTGAGGGATCAACAATCATTTATAGAAGATAAAAAATGTAATTACAAATCCCAAACTCTTACCAATTTCATAATTCCTTCGCCTATAATTGAACCCTACTCTTGATCCCTTTTCTTTATACTCTACATTGCATCGTCTGATCTACGCCAAGTATAAAAGTTTTTTTCCAACAACAACAAAAATAATAATAATACTGACAATTAAAATGAATATACCCATAACGGAATTTATTTCGTACATTTCTTAAGTGTCTTTCATAATAATTTTGAAACAATTTGCAAACCGTGTTGTGTGTTTGCATTTAATTGTACATGTGCTTCAACCTTCAAGAAACGGGATCCATCTTCTAAATATAAAATATAAGGAACAACTAGTATATTTGAAAATTCACCAAAAAGAAAATAAGAATAATGTATTGAAAGTTGAGGAATTAAAAAAAAAAAAAAAGTTGTATATATTAAGTGGGTGTTTGCATGTGTTAGGTGGGTTCTATTTAAAAAGGGCCGAAATATTGTGGGCTCAAACCGTTTGCCGTGAGCGTTAAATGAAATAGATCTCGTTTAATGGACTTTTTTTTCTTAATGGGCCAAAAAATGAGTAACTTTTTTTTTAATGAGAAATTCAAAAGGTAAAATTTAAATATTGGAACAATCTGTATGAACCTTTCTCAAAAAAAAATTGAATACAACTTAGAGGTATACAAGCCAAAGAAATTTCTTAGAAATTAACAATATCATGTAAACATAGACTAGGGAAATTCACAAACCTCTTCTTTCAGGCAAGTCGAATTGTTTCATTATATATAACTTAATTATTTCAAAATGAAAGCCAAGAATCTACTGTTACAGAAGATTGTTAATATGAACATGTATAAATATATCATTATCATCAATCATTGCTAATGAAGAGCACATGCATTTGACTGCATCAGTGCCCCTCAACAAAATAAATAAATAAAAACATAATATTCTTCAAAATGAAAATACACTAGTTGCATCACTCTTTTTTTTTTTTTTTTAATTTCTTAATATTAAATTACACTATTTTTCATGAGAAAAATGTACATTATACTCTTTTGTACTTTTATTTTGAAGAGTCACTTTTACCATTTTCTAACAAGAACGTAAATGTCATGTGGATTGCCATATCACCACATCAAATATAATAAAAAAAATTAAAAGTATAATTTAACCTAAAAAAATATATATATTTATCCTCAAACACATACCTTATCTATTTTATTCTATTTTTTTGCATCGTTATACTTAAAAATACCTAGATACTTGTATCCAAACTCATTATTTGCGCTACAGCTAAAAAAGTGGTATTTTATACCAATTATAAAATATAACAAACAAAATATATTTAACTAAATTCCAACTAGATATAATTTAGTACAAAAATTATACGCTCAATGTTCATAACAAATAGAATAATTAAATTAAATTCAAATCAAACATAATTAATTTATGAAATGACTGATTGATACACACGTGAGTGTTTAAAAAAACACTTTGATATGTTTAATATGCAAATATGGAACAAGGTGAATCCAAAAGTATTTGTATCTGTATTCATACCTGTAAATTTTTGCAAGTAAATATTCATACTCAAACCTATTTAGCTCCCCATCATGAGAGTTTTTTACAAGTATAGACTCCATCCCTAATTGGACTTCAGTTGAATACTCAAACCACTTCATTACATAACTAAGATGTATGCAAAACCAAAACCTACAATTTAAGAGCCATTAAGACGTTAAATTACTGTATCTCTTGAAACATTTCGAGAGTGATTCAAAATGGTCACCTGTTTGCTATTAAAATTAAGAAGGAAGTTATATAATTACTAATTTTTTTAGATAACCATAATATTAATACGAAATATGTATTATTAAAAACAGTTACTAATCTTTGTCACGAATCTTAAGTGTACATAAAAAAATTCTCCTCTCAACATAATAAATTTTATGTTCATGGCTGGAATTTGAACCCAAGTTCAATAAATAATTACTATATATTGTTGATGATCATTCATGGGTTAATTGAAATATAAATGATAACATGCTTTCCTGTAAGTTAAAATTTGATTGTTGAAATTCATTCGATTTGCTTAAAAGAGTTGGTCAAAATTTTGCTCCATACTTGAGCATATTCAGAAGTTTGTGGAGGTTGTCAACCAGGTAAGCAATATAGATTGTCTTTTCTCGGTTCAACTTTGGGAATAAATGTAAATTTTCAATTGGCTCACCCAAATGTGTGGACCTGTGAAAACATTGTACATATTTGTTTTTTGCTAGCACTAATTCTAATGCTTCTAAACGTAAGAGCAATAACTAGTTATTGATTAAACCCACGTCCAAGTGTTTTTCAACATGCAATCAAACATGTTCTTCCTTGCTTAATAGTAACAAGTATTTCATTCTTTTATTTATTTGTTTGTTTTAGAAACGATGTTAGATGAATTAGTTTGGTTTACTTCTTTGAAAAATCTGATTTTTTTTTTCTCAAAAGCTCATTGTGATTGCTTACTTTTTTATTTAAATAAAAAGTCAATTAATAATAGGGAGAAAAGTTTACACTTGTGCTATATTTTGTGATGATTTAGGAGTTGTAATGTACTATAAGGAAATAACAAAGAAAAAACATATTGACTCTTGAAATAACAAGATGCATGATGATCAAGAAGTTTAAATGCCCCAATCTAAGCAACACGAAATGGGTGGTACAAAGATGGAACTAGTATTTGGAGATTATCAAAAATAGGTGAAAAGAGTTAGAGATTATTAAAAATAGGTTTTGTTTTTTTAACAATCTTCTTTATACACATTATCAGATCAAATCTCTGATAACATATTTAAAACACTTAACTGTTTATTACTCATCATCATCATCAATAAATTCTATAAATTCTCGTGTGTTACACGTATACTTCAAAAGAAGGAAAGGATAAAAACCAACATGATGTAGTTCAGTTGATAAATAGTACTTGTTGTTAGGCATGTAATTAGTAGATCAATTTTCAGGTCTGTATATTAAATAACATTTATAGAAAAAAGAAAAAAGAAAGACAAATAACATTCATTGAATAACTCTAAATAGATTTTCGTACGTTTAGTGATTAGTCTCTAGTTCTCGACCGAAGTTATAGAAAAAAGGAAAAAGGATAGAAAGGTAGAAGAGTGAGGGGGACTTAACACAGTTAACTTTGGAAAAGAGGTCATGTGTGAAACTCCTTACAAGAAGGTAGAGGCTGCTATTTGTAATAATTATTAATTTATGAAACATTAGTAGTTAATTTTTATTAACTTACTGACAATCAGGTAATCTTTGTTTAATCTGTATTCCATCTATCTTGATTTTATCTAACACAGTCCCTAATGCATGCTCCAAGGGTGGATCTTATTTAACTAGGTCCATCATCATTGGCAGAGCCCCTGGTGAATGATGATAAAATGTTAGGACCAAGTATCTTAATCAAATAAATATAAGATTTTTATTGAAAACAACAGTTAAAGTGTATTATTATACTACCTTACAAGAACTTTCTACTTTTAATTCTTTAAGGCACTGGTTAGTATTCTCCTAGCATGAAAAACAACCCCAACTAGGCACAACAACCAGAACCAGTAGCATAATGTTATAGGTGTGTTTATTTTTACTCAAACCTCGGTTTGAGTCAAACCAACCAGACACAAGCTTCTCCATGGAAGTGTCTTGAGAGTTGCGATAACTACAAACACTCACTACATGGTTACAACTTGCTCTTTCTAACAGGCCCCATCTCCTTTGCCTTTTCCCTCAGCAAGTGCTTCTGCGTCTTCCCAGTTGCTGTCTTTGGCAATGGTCCAAACACAACTGATTTTGGTACCGAATAAGCAGGCATCTTGGACCTACAGAACTTAACGATGTCCTCAACCAAACGTTGCTCATTACTACTATCCACTCCTGGCTTCAGTGTCACAAAAGCACAAGGTGACTCACCCCACTTCTCATCTGGCCTTGCAACCACTGATGCATCAAGTATTGCAGGATGAGAGTATAGAGCATTCTCTACTTCAACACTACTAATATTCTCAGCACCTGATATGATGATGTCCTTTGACCTGTCCTTAATTTCAATGTATCCATCAGGATGCTTCACAGCCAGATCACCAGAATGAAACCATCCATTTGCAAAGGCCTCTTTGTTAGCTTTGGGGTTCTTCAGGTATCCTTTCATCACAGCATTGCCCCTCATCACAATCTCACCAACAGTGGCACCATCAGCAGGAACAGGCTGCATGGTTTTTGTGTTCATGACTTCTAGGCCTTCCAAGCCAATGTACCGCACCCCTTGCCTCGCACTCAGCTGAGCTAGCTTTTCGATGGGAAGTGATTCCCACTCTGGCTTCCAGGTGCATACCGTGGAGGGGCCGTAGGTTTCTGAGAGACCGTATGTGTGAGTGACACGAAATCCTAGTTCAGACATGGCAGCAATTACAGATGGAGGAGGAGCTGACCCTGCTGTATTCACATGTACAACATGGGGTAGAGGAAGGATGGCTTCCTCAGGAGAGGAATTGACTATTGAGTTAAGAACCACTGGTGCTGCACAAAAATGAGTGACTTTGTACTCCGCAATGGCTTCATAGATTGCCTTAGCTGTTACCTGTGTTTACAACAATTAACTGAATAAATGTTAAAGAAAACAACTCTCAGAAGAAAGTATACTATACACATATATTAGTTAAAAAGAGGGCAGCCTATTCAAGCAAATTTGTTTCAAGCAGGACTGAACAAAGAATTGTTCATTTGAAATATAATCATTTATGTATGTTTAAACTTTAAACTTCTAAATTAGAATGTTACTGTAAGCCAGCAACTGCAAAACGTTATTGATTTAGAAGAACTCTGGAATCCTGTTCAACTAATTATTTAAGTTCGTGTAAACTAATTTATGTTTTCAACTATGTCACTATTATTAAAGAGACTGATCAACATGTGGTCAATAAGGCATTATCTGTTTCTCCTACATGCATTAACGATAGCATTAAATTTCAAGCAAGAATTAGAACTGATCAATAAGGCATGTACAGCATATTACTCAACAAAGTTAGTTTCAAATTTTCAATCACTCCCATAATTGGCGAGCACAAACAAAACATCAATTTACCTTCCGAAGACAAATGTTAGTCCCACAAAGAGCCGCAAGTGTCCAAGGATAGCACCAGCCATTGCAATGAAACATGGGAAGTGTCCACAGATACACAGCACCTTCCTTCATGCCCCAATTAAGAGCTCCACTTAGAGACATGAGATACGCCCCTCGGTGGTGCAACACCACACCCTTAGGACTAGCTGTGGTACCAGATGTGTAACCCAAAGCGATGCTCTGCCACTCATCCTGAGGAGGTTTCCACTTGAATTCAGGGTCCCCGCTCTCAAGGAATTTCTCGTACTCAATGACTCCCTTTGCCAAAGCATGTCTGAGATCATTGGGGTGGCAGCTTTCATCGCCAACGACAACTAACATCGGAGGCTTAAAGCTTTTGCTTTTCTCAGAACATATCTTCAAGGACTCTTCCAACAAGGAAAATAACTCTTGATCCACAATGACGGCTGCAGCGGATGAATGAGCAAGAAGGAAAGCTATTCTGGATGCACTTAGGCGAATGTTAATAGTGTTCAACACAGCTCCTGCCATTGGAATCCCAAAATGAGCTTCATAAAGGGCTGGTATATTGGGTGCAAGAACACCAACCTGATGGCAGCATTACATTTGATCAATGCAACGAAAACAACATCAAGACCATTGGTAAAAGTTAACCCAGTGAAAAATGGAAAAATGTTAATTAGTGTCCTAAGCACACCAGTTAAAGAATTAAAAATAGAATGTTTTTATTGAGTGTGATGTAATTTTATTGTAGTTTTTAATGAAAAATTTAAACATATTGATTTCTTGCCAATGTTATTAAGACAGAGGTTAGCAAGATCTTTTTTTAAAATAAGATCTTGGACCAAAAATTCAATCACGGGGTTGCACAGGTTTGTGCATGCATTAGAGTGCAAATTCAATTGGTATTTGCGTTGCATGTAGGCTTGTGGATGAAATTGAACAATTGTTATAAAAGACGGAGGACGTGCAAGTTACATGCTGAATATGATTCATGCAAATAGTAATAGTTAAGGAATTAATTTGGTTGCAGAAAGTTACAGTGTGGCCGAGACCGATGGAAAGGTTGGAAAGAGCAGAGGCGAGTCGACGGCAACGCTGGTGAGTTTGGTGCCACGTGTAGTGCTGTGATCCATGGACCACGGATATTCTGCTGGGGTGCACCAGAGCTGCTCTTTCCAAGAACCATAGCGGGGTCAAGGCAGTGTGGTTCGCATCGTTCTTCGGCAAATCGTCTATGTCGCGCCCCATTGTCATTTCCTGCACCTCTCTCTCTTGAGTGAATGAATGAGTGCGAGGTACGAGGTTGTCTCGAATGTACTGTATGTCTGGTGTTTATATATAGCAGTCACACAACAATGCGTTCCTAATCTAACGGCTCTTGAATATTATTATTGGGTCAAATGACAATTCCGTTTTTGCTCTGCTTTTCTTTCTCTCAGTTTAGTTACATGTGAGCTTATTTGCAGTTTTCAGCTACAATGTCAATGTGCAATGGCCACTGTACTGGTTGGTTTGCCAACTTCGTTTTTGCCTTCTTTCTGCTTGTTTCCAGTGGCTGAGGCTTTCAATTTCACTTTCAAAACCCTCACAACTGACGAGTTACCATCACCAATAATGTATCATATACTATTCTTTAATTTAAATTTGCTTTTCCCATATCGTTACATGCAATGCATTCATTGCTCATTCTTTCTATTCCAATACCTTCCTCAGTTCCTCATATATCATTCTGTCAGCATCACCTGTTTTGCAACTTTGAGTAAGATCATTATTTTATAAGAGTGCCCAAAGTCCTATATTTTACTAAACTGACTAATTTCCGACCTACACTAGAAGGGGTAGGGTGGAGAACTTTATAGCTCTTTTAATTATGTCAGTATTTTTTGAAAAATAATGAAAAGTTTTTCATAAGCACTTAGAAGTCCATTTAATTTATTTTATTTTAAAATATGGCTACAATTCAATTTTTTTATTCTCTATCTAATATATATCATGTTCAGTATGCACTATAAAAATAAATCCCATACTAGTCGCACCATAAAAAATATATAAAAAAATTGACAGTAATATCGACATTAATTCCCTTCAGAATAAATGTTAAATAAATATCAAAACATATATTACATTATTTCAATTCAATTTATCATATTACATGGTTGCAAGAGCCCATTGCAATATAATATCTACTTGATCAATATATTAATATTTAATAATGAAGTTTGGAAAACTTAATACTTTAAAGCAAATTCACACAGCTTTAGCTTGTTTAACTTTTAGTTAATGTCTAAACAGGACCTAAAAACGTTTTAACTACTTTGACCGGCGCAAGTAAATTTCATTGCAGAAGTTATTAGGTTGGTAAAACAATCAAAGGAAAAAAGTGATTTCTTCACATCTTGAAATAATGCAGTTACGTGCTACTTCTGCATGAAGCATGCAGCACCGTCACACATATCAAGCAAACTGAAAATTTACCTGGTGTATTGAACTTGAGAGTTGGACAAGCAAAAAAGTAAAATGCAATATAATCACACTCAAGTTGAATCTGAAATATTCTGTAAGGACAAAAAATGGAAGTATGACTTTGTCCCAACTCCCAAGTCACTGAAGAAAATAGCAAAGATAGCACGCATTTCTCGCAGAGTCAAAAACCCAGAAATTCTGCACAATATTACTATAAACATGGTTTCCATGAAGATATGGAATCAGGGTACAAATTTAATGTCTTTGAAGTATTCATGCTCCACAGCGCTCCTGGCGGTAATTCTTTTGCTGGGATCCAAGCAAAGCATACTCTGTAATACAATAAACATTAGTACAGACAATAAAGCACCACAGAAACTCAGTAGTAGAAGTACCCGAGGAACCAAAATGGATGTTAGTATTTAAGATGAAGAAAACTTATAAAAATGCAAGAACGGACTGGTACAAACACAATGATATTATATTTTTCCGCAACAAAAATTAAAAAAATATATACAAATATCAAAATCAAAACTCCCTCATTTTATAGGAACTAAAAACATATTTTAGAGCAAAAACTAAAAAAAGATAAGTCTTATTAATCACCAAAAAATAAAGATAAAAAACTAATGGCTGGAACTGTCGAGCATTGCACCATTTATTGCTATTTATAAATCATAAGGCACACACTAGTTATGATCCCTTATAAATACGATTTTAAGGTAATGGTAAATGAAGTAACTTATAATTTATAAATAGCAGTAGTTTGGGAATAAAATAAACTGAAATCACCATTTATGCATGGTTTCTTGCCAGATACCTTGATTTCTGAGCTACATACAATCAGTTATCATTTGTTAATGTAAAACCCAGAGAGGGTGAGTGTTATCTAATACTTTGTTTTACACTATTGTTGCTTCTAAACAGATTTATCATAGAAAGTACTTCCTCTTAATTAGTATTCAGTAATGAAATGCACGAAAGATTGTTTCATATTCTCCCATTTATACAGACTCAACACTTTTTATGGGAACATTGGAAACAAATGCTTGGGAATAGGAGTATAATAAGTAACCTAGCGGAGAATTGAACCTCTTTACATCACCACCACACCCCAACCTTAGAGACTGTCGAACTACAACCTATTTGCGCTATTTTTAATAATTGCAATGAAAAAGAATACTGTATCAAATCTTGCACTTACAGAAAGAAGATTAAGACCAGCTGGATCAAGATTTGGAACCACAGCTGCTAGGTCCTGCAAAGTACAAGATAAGCTTAAATTATCACTGAATGAAGAACACAACAATTAATCCAGGTTAAAAGGCAAACAATCATAATTACCTTAGGGGGCCATTTGGGAAATGTTGATTTAAAATCAGGCAATGAAGTTACTCCAGGCCACGTGTCTTCATTTGGTGTACCCAAGATTCTTCATATAAGGAACAATATGTATATATATTAGTGTATATATGTATCTTCGATTATTCATTTGATGGAAGCAAATATTTATTTGACTATTTTTTCCATTCTTCAAGTTTATTTAACAGCTTTTGATACAATAGTTACCAGTTTTAAATTCCAAGCATACTAAAAATTTGACAAATTAAAAAATTCAGATTATAAACTCCATATTATGGGAAAGACTAAAAGGCTGTCCTCACAACCCTAACCTCCAGGAACCAAAAAAGGAAAGTTCTATATTTCTCCATTACCTTACCAAAAGAATTTGAAAAAACTATTATAAAATTTTAATAGAATTGCTAAATTTTCACCAGTTCAAATTCAATATAATCGATCACTTCAATCAACAAAAAGTTATTTAAATTTAGCCTCTTCGAAATTTTTTTAAGAACAGCTAATAATGCATTACATGTGAAACAAAATGCTTGCATTGTCTCAAAGTCCAGCTATATATAATCAATGAAAACAAGATTTTTTGTTAACTGTTTTTTGTACAATCATTTAAACCAAGAAACAAAGTGAAAAACAAAATGATAGTTTATGTAATTATTCGTAAAAACAGAAAATAAAAACAGTAAATGTTTCCTTAAACCAAACAAACCCTTAAAGTTGGAGGGAAATGGAGAGGAAGGGAACCACTCCTCATCAATTTATGCTCCCCACCAATATTGGGGGGATTTGGAGGGAGGGGAGGGGATTTAAAATATTTAGAGCATAATGTCTAAAATATCCTCCTCTTTGAACCAAACAATAGAGCTACCGTCCTCCCCTCCTCTCCATTAAAATTCCTCCACTCCCCTCCTCTTAACCAAACCAAATGAGAAATAAAAACCCCGGTCTTCCCCTCTTTTCAACCAAACTGTTAGGATATAGAATTGTAGGTTTTACAGGAGAAAAAGTAGAAATAAGGGGTTACGACTCCTTCTGGTCGACTCCTATCATGTCTACGCCTCCTCCCTCTAAAGGGTGCCAAGCAAAGGTGTTGGGCATGAAGGAGAGTGGTTGAATCAAAACAGTTGCGACAAGAGGATCAAGAGCTTATGTGCTGTTTCAAGAATAAAGGGAAATAGAGTAGTTAATAGTTAAAAGGATATCATGGGCTAGACCCATCACATCTATAAATAGGAGGTTACTTGGTAGAGGGGAGACATTCATATATTTCCATTTGTAGATTGAGCTTGGGCTCTTTGTGGAAGGAAAAATCCTTTCTGAAGGGGAAACCCTTGGAGGAGATATTTCTCTCCTATTTAGTGATCTTTTGATCCTATTCAATAAAATCTTTCTTTTCTTTCTCTTTCTTAATTCTTGGTTCCTAACACAAACAGTACCACACTATGCTTTATCACTCCAGCAGAAGTTTTGATAATCCATAATGCAAACCTAACATTGCAGTAAAAACAAACTACAAAAATAGGTCCTGACAACATGGGGAAACTGTAAACCATACACAGCCAAATGTAGACCAGACAAAATATTACACTATCAATATATGTAATATCCTATCGATATATCATCTATATAAGAAAATGTCCATATTTTCTTTCCTTGAATGAAATGGGAACTTTAAGCTTGTGTCAGTTATCCCTTAGCCACATGCAAGAAGCCTGTCAAGCTGACAATCAAGCCCAGAAAAATCATCTATAACCCAGACCAAGTCGAAGGCCTCAAAAGTATCCAACAAGAAAGTGGCATAAATTTGAGACCAATGCTTGAGGCCATTAGTAACTAAATATCCAAAAGAGGCATGTCATGCTTTTTTTTCTATTAAACTTATACTAGTTTATAGATTACTAAATTTTGGGAGAGGTTAGAGCTTTAAGATTCAGAGAAAGAAAAGATAAAGGAATCAAACAGACAGAGGCAAGACTATGAGAACAAGCAGCCAATTTGCTCAATAATCCAACAGCTGACAACTGAAACTTACTTTCAGAGGACACTGGTCAAACTGCCATCAACACCATATGTATGTGTGTGTCCGCGTGTGCATGTGTAAACTTAACCCCTCACCAAAAAAAGTACCAAACAGGATTGAGATTCTTCATTAAAACCCCATATAAAATCTTAAATATGTGCCATATTTTTAAAACTCTAGAGGCATATTCATTACTGATAGAAATTATTATGATGCGCCAAGAAATCAAAATTTTATGCAAATAGATACTAACCTGAATATTTTAAATAATTCATCAATCTCAGAGTCCCCAGGGAATAGAGGTCGTCGGTTTACCATCTCTGCAAATATACATCCCACTGACCAAACATCAACTGGGGTAGAATAATGACGAGATCCAAGCAATATTTCTGGAGCTCTATACCATAATGTAACCACCTACAAGCAATCACCAGCAATGACTATAAACACAGAAATGGGAATAAATATTGATTTAAAGTTCATTAGTTCTTCTTCACAAAATTTTATATGTACATCTAATTTTATTTGTTTAAATTAAAAAAACATGCAATTTTCTTTTCAGGTTAATAAAAGTTTAGGGGAAGAGTCAGAGCCAAAGCAGTCAGTCGTGCACAATAGAAGTGCTTAAGGCTGGAGAAGCACATCATAGCACCCTACTGCTACTCCAAGGGCAGTCATGGCTGGGGTCTCAGTGCCATTAAATGGGGTCAACTATATGGATTCTTGTCCACAACTGTGCTCAATCTTGCATCATATGTAGTGGACACTGGACACAAACAATATGAACCCCCACCCTCCCCAACAAATGCTGAAATATTGATATTTTTTTAGATCAAGTGCAGAAATATCAAATTACCAAATATAGTCTTGAAGATAAGTCATGCAGCTTTCGCATTACAGGGCAGTAAGATTTTTAACTATTACATTCCAAAATATGCAACTTTAGTGTATATCATTTTCTTGTGAAAGAAAACCATTCATTTCAATTATTTATTATTTGCATGGATGACTCACAAATAAGGTAGCACACAAACCTCATGGGTAAATGTCCTGACAGGAATGCGAAATGCCCTAGCCAATCCAAAATCTGCAAGCTTGGGCTCATTAATTTCAAATTTAATTGTCTCCATAGTCAGAAGCCAGTAAAAGGTTGCCCACAAACCTCATGTGTAAATGTTCTAACAGGAATGCCAAATGCCCTAGCCAATCCAAAATCTGCAAGCTTTAGTGAATTAGTACGGCGGTCTATCAACAAATTCTGAGGTTTCAAGTCTCGATGAAGAACTCTATGTGAATGGCAGTAAGCAATGCCACAGAGAATTTGATAAAGGAACATCTGCAGAAAGGGTCATTAAAGAATTCAAATTCCAAATTCAAACTAATTGGTATTTTCACAAAAATTAGCATCTTATAGAATCCATGACAAAATAGATTTAACATTAACAATGAATGTTAAGGTGGAAAAATTGAACCATAATCTAACCTACAAACATGAAAGTGAAGGAACATCACACATAACCTCATAACTTATAACTAATTACATTCAATAGAACATTAAAGAGGGAGGCAGTCACACAGACAATAAGAAAGGAAGCCAAAACAAATGAAATACATGATAGCTGCATCTCAGCGTAACATCTTAATTTTCATTCTGCATTGACCTGACTCAACACACTAAAACTCACGAGACACAAATTATGCATAAACCTGCATCCAACAAGCAAAAGTTATGTAGCCAACCATAAGGTTTTAAATCATTGATCACTCTCATATTGTCTTCATTTAATTTGTAGAAAGACAAGACAATGGATAAGAAACCCATATATTTGCTTGCCGAATTAGATTTCTTGCTCACTCTCACAAGTACAACTCACCTTACAAACATATATAATCTAAAGAGAAAAAAAACACAAGTCACTCACTTTTACTTGCCGCGGATCTTTCACAAACTCTGGAGATGAATCCATGTGCTTCTTAAGATCCAAGTCCAGATACTCAAAAACCAGGTACAACCGCTTCTCACTGTGCACTACATCCTGCAACCTATCATCCAAACAACCGCCAAGCATAACTCAGTAATGAATTGACAAAGAGGCGGAATTAAATTAAGAACAGCACAAAACAAAGCAACACTATAATAGAATTATGCCTTTCCCATCCAACATGCCAGGACATATAAATCCATACAAATATGGCGAGAATTTCGTAACACGAAAAACATGACTCGAAAATGAAGGAGTTCGCATAATTGCGTACACATCCAACAGTCACTTCACCAAACAACAAACATAAACAACAACTGAGTGGAATTAAAGCATCAAAACCACGTTCTCAATTATTCCACGCGTCCAAACCCTACAAGCTACGAACATCAAAACGACGCCGCCTCTTCATTCACTATATTTCAAGAGCTAAAAACTCGAAGGCTAAAGCGGAAACAGAAATTCACGATAAACAGGAAGCAGTGACAGCACTATAATCGATTAGAATGAGACATTGCATTGGAAGAAAGAGAGAATACCTAACAATGTTCCTATGCTGCATCTCTTTCAAGAGAGAAATCTCGCGAATGGCGGTGCTGGGAACGCCTTCGTCCTCCTGCTCGAGGCGAATCTTCTTGAGCGCGATGGTCTCATTGGTGACGCGGTCGCGAGCCTTGTAAACGACGCCGTATGTTCCCTCGCCTATCTTCTCCACCTTCTCGTACTGCAAAATCGAAAAGTTTGTGAGAAGAAAGTGAGAATCGAAGAGCGATGCATTGCGGTAGCACTAACCTGTTCCATGGAAGATCTGAGAAGTGAGAAGAGAAGAAACAAGGTTGGAGCGCTTTGCAGTCACTCTCGCTCTCTCTCACTCTACTCTCGTGAGTCGTGAGTCTTGTCACTTCTCTCTCTTTCTCTATTTGTTTCCTTTCTAATTTCTTCCCTACCCTTTTCCCTCTTTTTTTCTTTTAATTTATTCATTTCTTTTTATTATTTATAATTTTACTAAAAATCACAACTATGTAAAAAAATGACAAGGTCTTGTAATTTGGTTAATTACTTTATTTGAGTAAATTATTTCACCTAATTTATTTTTAAGATTATATATTATAATCGAGACTTGTTTGAATAAATTGTATCATTACAAATTTATTTAGATATGGATCAACTAGTATAATGTTCTTCCAGTTTTATTAATAGTTTTGAGTTTGAGTAATTATAATAGTTATATTAAATATTTCGATGAGAATGTATTGTCCATATTAGTCTTTTTTAATTTGAACAATATTGTCTTAAGTCGTGCAAAGTTTTTTGAAGAATTCGGATTCCTTGTTCTCTTCCTCTTCCTCTTCCTCATTTCTTCATTTTAGTGGTTAGGAATTAAGGTAAGGGAAGTTAGAACAAATGGTTGATTGATTGGTTGTGTTGCATGTGTGTAAGATTCTCAATTGTTGCGTGAATTGGATGATTTTTGGATTTTTAAGGTTGTGTTGGTGGGGGTTTTGGTGAAGGTTAAGAAAATGATGCATAATTGATGATTTTTGATCTCCTTTGGAGTTGCATGTGCTTTTTTTTTTGGTGAATTTTAAGATGTGTATGCATGTATTAGTTGCAATGCATGTGTTGGATTTTTTCTATTTCAAGTGGATGGAGGAGATTTTCGAAGTCTGCATTTGCAGATTTTTGATGTCACATCTAGCACACCTTCGTGGCACCAAGCGCAATTCCAATCCTGGGTCACTATCTCGTTCATATCAAGTGCAAGATCAGTGACATCAAGTGTGAGAAGAGAGACTCGTCTTAGATTAGGATGGCATCGAACATGGTTTTGAATGACATTGGGCGTGATAGCATAGCATAGGAAAGTCTATAATTTAGTAACATCAGACCCTAGTTAGATGGTGCCAAGCGTGACCAAGACAAAGGTTTCTTGCTTGGATGACGTTGGGTGTCACTAAGGTGACGTCAGGTATGAGTCAAGCACAAACTCTTCGCTTTATATGAGGTCGAGCATGAATTTTGTCACACCAGACATAAGGTTTTATGGGGTCTCCACCTCAGTCACGTCAAGCGTGAGCGAGGCAAAGAGCTCTCTACCTCAATGGCTTCAGGTGCGAGATATGTTTCGTCGGGTGCAGGATGCTTGGATGATGGGTATGTTTTGGAATGTTGTCTGATGAACATGAGCAAATGTATGAGTTTTATTGCATGTTATATGAAGCATCAAGCCTGTAGTTCTATGTATGTTGATTGGATATGACATATGTAGATGTTTCTATAGTGTTGGATGATGAGTACATATGTATGATGTTGTTAATTTCTATATGTATTGATTTTATGTGATGCATATAAATGATATATGGTGAGGTATGGATGTTGAAAATGCGGTATGACATTAAGGCATGTTGGCTAACTTAGGACTTCAGGAGAGGAAATTGTTTTGAAAACTAAAGATCCCACATAGGGAATCTTGGAATGGTGCTCGGGTAAGTCATTGTTAGAAAACTCTCCTTGAATAGGTGTTTTCTTGGTGTGGGTTTTGAGGTGTGTTGATGCCTCCTTTAGGTCTTTAGTTAATGGTTGAGTAAGGTAGGAGATCGAGAACTACAACCTCTAACCAAGTAGCTGGAAATGTTGCGTGATCCCTTGAAGATTGTCAATGGACTAACTTCACATGTTGCTTGGTAATGCATGTCAAGGTCCTAGTAAGCCTATACATAATTGTATCATTCCTAATAGTGGAATTAGACTTTTCTAATGTAAGTAACAAAAGTCGAGCAACCACGGGAGGGATTGTTATCCCATTTTGTTGTGATCGATATCCTACTCACATATCCACGTATAATCATGGTAGTTCAAACCACATGGAAACACACAAGGGTAAGTTAGAGTTTAAAGAATAACATATATACAACATAAAATGTTGATAACATTAAATACATCTCTCATCTCCAACACTGACAACACAAGACATCACAATACAAATAACATATATGAACACAAATAGCTCAATTTTTAGCACATCAGCATCGTTCACCACAAATCACATAACATATGAACAATATAAATAAATCAACACATCATATGCTCAGCACAATAATTACATGCGTTGTCACGCATTTCAACTTGAAGATCTTCTACAACATAGGGTGAGTAATTTAAGTAGTTTAACCTTACCAAATCAACAACATAGAGTGATTTTTTTGGGCATGCTAGATTAACAACAAATTAGATATAAATCCACAACACAGCAGCTCAATTTATCTGATGTCGTCATTTAAACAAGAAAGTCTAGTATTATTGTCATGGTATAACAACTGGGTATGGACTTATCATGACATTAGTTAGCTTAACTAAGTTTCTTATGGGATTAGCTCACCAACTAACCTCCAAATACTACGTTTTCTTCGATACTCGGTGAGAAACTAAGTTCCTAACTTCGTATTTTACTCAGTTGATTACTTGTAAGCAATATAGCTCCACCTAATTCTTATATTATGGTCACTTTATACATGTGTGTCTTAACCTTGTCCACGCACGATACCAACTAAGTCCTAGAGGAGAATCAACACAGTTATCCACTTTAAGTGTCAACTTTCCAATAAGAATTTTCAACAATTTTGGACTCTTAGAATACCATAACACAATATCCACATAATGAGATATGCAACTTTCAAAAAAATTTCTCTAATCCTAGGTTGGTTATCACAACTCAACAACACAATGCTTAAAACATTCTCAACATTCACCACCTCAACAACATAACAACGTCATGCATATAGCAACATTTCAAAATGACTACACAACTTACAACTTGTTTCAATTTTCAACTTACACTCACAACAAAATCATTACATACAACAACATCCATGCAACTCATTCATCCTTACTTAGTAAAAACACAACTCAGTCAATAAGTAATTCAACAATTCATCATAGAATTCATCAACTTTTCTTCAACAACCAACACCAGGCTCAACATTATCTACATCTAGCGCCATCGAGGCAGGGAACTCTTTACATTGTCCACCCCAGCGCTACACAACTCGTGCCCAACGTGGTTAAGACAAAGGCCCCTAAAACATTATGCCTAATGCAATAAAGTACCACACCCGACCCTATCTAAGGCACAAAGTCTTTACCTAATTCAAGTTCGATGTCACCATACCAGTGCTCAACATCATCCAAGCATAAAATTCTAGCTTGGTCATGTTGGGCGCCACTCAACTTTGGATTCGGCGTCACCAAGTTAAAGACCTCCCAAAGTTTTCATGCCCATTACCATTCAAACCATGTCTAATGCCATGCTAACTCGAGACAAGTCTTTTTCCTCATGTCCAGCGTCATCGATCCAACATTCGATGTGATCGAGACAAAGAGCCTCGAGTTAGAATGATGTTCGATGCCATGAAGGTGCGCTCGACGTGATATTAGAATTATGCATGCAGAACCTGATTTTGACCCAAAACATGCAATGCAACTAGAATCCAACACATGCAACATGGAATAATGATTATACTCTACACAAGCAACTCAAATTCAACACAAACCAACATGCAATAACAATACATAGTAAACCATATTCTTTCTCATGAACCTCAGACCTCAACCTTCACACAGATCTTCACCATTTTAATCAACTGAACCATAGTAGTTTGAAATCCAAACAATGTTCAGCACCATAATCATCCAACAAATCCAACATTCAACAAAGAAAACATAAGTCCAGCTTCCCTTATCTCGAATAGCTCGACACTAAGGTAGATGAAAAGAAAACAGGCTCTTCGCACTTTGTAACGACCCGCCATGGTCTCTACACTTAGTGGAATCCACTGTTGTATTTGACAGATCACTTTGAATTTTGAACATGAAGTTGTTTCTTGGCATTCTTATTTTGTGTGCGAGGCATTACTATCTTTACATTCTTGACATGTCCAATTCCTAAAACCTTCCTTGGCTTTAATTATTTTAAGGTCGATGATGTCCTCGAGACAAAGTTGGGACAAGAGTTTCAACTTGTTATGGATAAAGGAACGCTAGATGCTATTGGATTGCATCCTGATGGTCCTGTCAAGAGGTAAGAAAACATACTGTCTTATCTGTGATTCTATCATAAGTTTATTGGAATTATATATATATATTTTTTTTTACTTTATTGCTTACTGATTTGCTCTCCATTTAATAGTTTGCTTGCATGGTACTGAGAAATTATGCTTTTGTTTTCTTGATTTCCGAATGATGTATTGGGATTCTGTTTCAAGATTGGTTGCTCCTGGTGGAATACTTGTAAGCACTTCTAAATTTATTCCAAGTTCTAGGCGTTTGTGGGTCGTGGCATGAACTGTGCATGCCTATTACTTAGTGGGATTCTTTTATTCATTAAAAAAGAAGTCATTATTATTTTGATCTTGATGATTTCTTCTTGTTTCACTTGCTGTCTTTCCCAAATTCCTGAGTTCATGATATAGTTGCAGCAGTTCTTGCTACTTTTGTTGTAAGGTGATTACATCTTGTAATAGTACAATATAATAGTTATTATTAATTTTAAATGATTAATATAATTAGTGATAATTTTAAACAATAATTTGATAAATACTTAAAATATATAGATTATTATTTCTCAATTTATAATATGAACATGTTTTTAAAATAAATTTTAATCTATTTTTTAAAATAATAAAAATTAGTTGACGGTTTAAAAGATAATGTGAGAAAAATAAAAATAAAATGCAATTTTGTGGCGGGTTAAAACGGCTACAATGTGATTGAATTTTCTGACACCCAGAACTAGCATTTACAAAATATACACCACAAACCGTTTTTTGTGATTGTAGATCTAACGATTATTAATAACGCTAGTAATACAATTTGTGCCGGTTTTAACGGCCAAAAATTGTCAAAAATAACCTTCACAAATCACATGTTATACCACTAATTTAGAAATTTGTAAAACTGTTAATTTCTATCATAAAAAGTAATTATCAAATTGAGAGGCAAAGTATTCGATTAAAATAAGAGTTCCATTAAATTAAATAAGGATCGGGGGAAATATGAACAATTGGTCAAAGTCGTAAAACTAAATTTTCCTAATTTTTTAATCACAATATCAAACTTTGACTGACTATCTGAAATTGAGTTTTTATTAATTGCACTGACATGTTTATTCCTTTAAAAATTGGGTGCGAGGCATTACTATCTTTACATTCTTGACATGTCCAATTCCTAAAACCTTCCTTGGCTTTAATTATTTTAAGGTCGATGATGTCCTCGAGACAAAGTTGGGACAAGAGTTTCAACTTGTTATGGATATAAAGCTTGTGTGACTTAAATTATGTAACAAAGTTCAGTTTCTTTTGTAATGTTCAGTTGTTAAAGTATTTGTTAGATGTTGAAGCCTATTCAACATGTCAAAATCACTGCTTGCAAGCACCTTCAACTGCAGAATACTACAAATCTAACTGATTTGTTAAGACTCTAAACAAATAATTTCTTCATTTAAGACTCACTTTCTAAAAAAATTTCTTTCTCTGCAGTAAATACTCTTAACAAATTTCTCTTAGTTTTTCCTTATGGTTTCTCCCATTTTCTAGGATCATTGAATCACAAATTTAAAATATAAATAATTAAGAAAACTGCTTCTTAAAAAGAATGAATAAAACCAGACAATAATTTTTATTTTAACAATGTTACACACTTCATGGATTTGATTCATAATTTCTACAACATGAATCACCATAAGCAATTTAAAATCAATTAGGGAAGAGAAAAAATTTAGAAGAATAATAGATTCGCGGAAAAGGAATCCACGAACCAAAGACCTTCTCTCTAGAATCATCTCTTTAAAACGCTAAGGAAAAGAATTTATGTGGCTTTATTTAAAACATAAACCTTATATACTCTTCCTCTCAAGGTCGAATTAACCCTTTATCTAGAGAAACCTTTAACACCACTAAAACTCATAAGGGATTCTCAAACCTTAGAGTCTCTCAATGCTGATTAGCAAGCTCAACATAACAACGTGAAATAATTTAGAGCAATTATAATACTTCCACAACTCACAGTGTTACAAGTACCATTTTTATCTCGACAGACATTACTATTTATACTAATCATAATGAATTTATATTCTTAGAATTTTTCCCTATTAACATTAAGGTAATACATTACTAATGATGGTTTAGTGTGTAACATCTTTGCTAATTTGTGTTATCTTTTTTATTTATTTTGTTAAGATTGTGCTCAACTTAAAGAGATATAGGTCTCGAATTTCGCACCATACGACTCGACTATTACACTAATATTAATAATATTATGTTTTTGGTATTTCAATACATATCCCATATATAAAAAAATTCAAATTTGATATCACTAATTATATATCGATTGATTTATATACTTAGGTGAGATATATTTAGTTCGAAATTTCGATCATATCACTATATTTAGAGATTAGCCTTTCTTTTTTATTTAAGGTATTTGGCTATATAACATCTAATAATACTCTTTCAGGACACAAATTCCAATCAAAATAAAGTTGAAGATGAAATTCATTATATTTGCCTATCTTGAATTAACGAATTTCATTTGCTTAGTTTATGAAAATGTGTTTTTATTTTAATATATTTTTATTTCATTTTTATTTTCAATAATTTATAGAAGAAAACAATGTTAAAGGATAATTACTAGTAATTAAATGAAAACATATTTCATTAAATTAAATAGGCTTTCAACTCTTAGTAAAAATGATGGTGTAAAAAAAACCTCTTGGTAAAAATGAGTTTCAGATAAAATATATTTTTTAAGAGTAAACTACAGTCTACAAATCAAAGAAGTGTGCTCTTATATTAATAATAAAGATTTGAAGCTTGTGCTATAGCATTGAAGAAAATTGATTTTCATAATCAAATCAATGTAAAGGTGTATCATTAGAATTACTCAAAGAAATTTGGTTACGGTTGCTGTAAATGTTATCCTAAAAACCCCTTAATGTAGAAATCAAAATAAAAGATAATAAAATAATTAAAAAAATATGCTATATATATAAAGGAGATAGGAGTATGTATAATTATTCTAAACTACTCTATTTTTGTCTTCACTTATTTTAAACCATTATACTTTCACAACTATTCTAAGCTACTCTATTTTCATATATAAAATTACTTCCTATTATTTAGTTTTTTTTAATATGTTTTTTTTTCTTCCTAAATGAACATACTGAATCACAAAGTACTTATTTCTTGCAAGTAATAAATAATAAGGATATATTGATAGTTTTAAAAAGACATTAAAGTTTGATGACCAAGTTTTGTAATGTAGAAAAACAAATAAGAAGGAATAAATAAATAAACAGGATTTTGATATTTTTTTAGAAACAAAAGTTAAATTATTTTTTATACATTTTTATATATATATTTTAAACAATTTGGAAGAATTGCCCCATATTCTCTTCCGACATGTTAATTTAAAACTTCATGAATGCCATTGAATGGGAAAACAAATCTTCCGAAAATGACATGTGGCAAATTAGTCGGACATATATATATTAGGCACAATTTACTTTGATATAACATAATATATGAAATTTAATTGTACCAACCCCTTTTTATTTATGCGTTTATATAATTCCTCACAAACTTGTTGCATCCTTAATTCATAGCAGTAAGTTATAGTTTTATTCTATTCGATTTATAGCTTTACAAATATGGCTAGTTCAATCCCATGTTTAGCTTAATTAAATAATATAAATATAATTTATTTTTTGATTACCAAAGTAAAAAAAAAAAATTGTAAAGGCACATCAAATTCAAATCGAATTTAAAACTTATATAAATACTTTCAATAGCATAATGTAACTTTGTATTTTTATCAAATTTAATTTCTTAAATTGATTTTGAAAAGTATTTAATTAAATTTGTGTTAGATTTCTATTATTTAACAAAGGATAAATTATGTTAAACACAAATTATAAAAGTTTTAAAAATGAAAAGAATTTTTGTCTATCGAAGAAATTATCATAAAAGTGTTCTTGCATAAACTTATTTAAAAAT